AAGAGGCATTTCTTGATCTATGTTTATAGGGACTTTTTTTTATTTTTGCACGTAGAATCTGTTGTTAAAAAAGGTGCACTAATTTCAGGACACCCTGTATAGGAGGCGGGTGAGACTACATACGTTTTTTTGTCTAAATACGAATAAATTTCCACGTCACATGGGAGGTATTATTCTGCGACGCGTTGACTTTTTTTAAAACAGTTTTAAAAAATTTAAACTGAATCAAAACCCGCTCTACACACACTGCAACACAAACTGCCACCCACCACATCTTCAGTCATGTGATATAAACCCACCAATTAGAGCAAACTAATTCTCTCTCGACAGAGTCCCAACCTGACGAGCCGCCACTGCAGGTATGTATATTCTATATAGGTATGGCAAAGAAATGGAATAAAGAAGTAAGTCAGAGGAGTTTGAGTTAAAAACCGAAGACGGTCGTAATTTATGCATGGGAACGGATCCTTGGCGTTGTTTAACATCTTAAACGAGTATTAGTCCGCGCTGCGCTCGGCATACATTAAACCTTCGCTGCCATTTGTTTTCTGTCAGTTGCGAGGGGCGATTTTTTCGCATATTCATAATAAATTTCGAAAAGAGCAGAGCCTTATTTTTTACGAAAAACGACTGCATTCCTGCAGAAATAATTATCGTAAAAATCGGATTTTATGCCGATCATAATTGCCGTGTGGGGCTGTTAAAATTAACATATCGAACATTATTAATGCTGGTGACAAAACACTGCAAGTTATTTCGCAAATATCCTGCATTAAATCAATTATTTATCGATTTTAATGCGCGAAAAGCTGGCAAATTAAAAATTTACCCGGTTATTTGCATGAAATAAAGAAGCAAATGTTTAAAACTTAACAAAAGAGTACAGTACTTTAAATAGACGCCACACAGAAAAAGTTAGCCTAACTATTATTGGTTTCATTTAACTAAACATTAGGTTACACTGTTCAAAATTTTATGACCATTTTAACACCAAATTAACACCATACATGGTCTATATCGATACAAACCAAAATGGTGTTAAATATGCTTCGTTCAATGAACTTCGCAACAACTCAAAGGACTACCTGAGCTTATCTGCCGTGCTTAATGAAAACGCCGTAACCAACAATTTTGCGATTTTTGTTTTACGGCATTTTCTACTAGAAAAATTCATCCTGCGTCTATCCCCCGTACTCAAAAAACTGTATCTATATAATATATATATTATATCTATATAATATATATATTATATACGGTTTTTTGTGTACCGGGGATAGACGCAGGATGAATTGTTCTAGTAGAAAATGCCGTAAAACAAAAATCGCAAAATTGTTGGTTACGGCGTTTTCATTAAGCACGGCAGTATATACTCTTCATGTAAGTCAACAGACGCGAGATTTAAGAACATCACGTGATCCGCACCGCCTTTGCCGCGATCGGTACACACTATGCAACAAGGAATGCATGGCAAATTGTTTTAATCGATTTAACAGAGTGCTTTAGGTTGAAGTAACTCTTATTTTACAAACAACATATTTAGTAAAATGAACCACATACCGGGTTGGTTTCACTTAAGTTTTCTGGGTTAAATTAACCAATTAAAAAAAAAATAATAACTATCTGGTTAAGTACGGTGAAACTAATCTTTGTTTATATTAACCTTCCCACAGTTGATTTAAATAAAAACTTATGGGTCAACTAAATTAATATATTATTATATATAGTTATTATATATAGTTAAATGAACTATTCCTTTTTTTTCTGTGTAGGTGCACTTCTCAAATATTTTTAGATAAACACAGTTTTGGTGTTTAATGTATATTTTCAACCATAATTCATGGTGTTTATATTACACCACTTGGTGTTGGATTTTGACACCATTTTAAGATTACTCTTCACACCACAGATATTTTAAACAGTGTACAGCAGGTTTGTTTAACTTAAGTTTTCTGGGTTAATTTAACCAATTTGAAAAAATATAATAACTATCTGGTTTAGTACCGTCAAACTATTCTTTGTTTATATCAACCTTCCCACAGTTGATTCAAATAAATGCGAGTCAAACAAATTAATTTAGTTAAATTAACCATTCCCTTTTTTCTGTGCATGTTTGATACCTCGTCCGAAAACTAAAGCTACAGTGGAAGACGAAAATTTTGTATTAATTTGACTAAAGTTTGTTTTGATTCTTTTAAATAGAGGGTGTGACCTAATAAATTGTGATCCTTAGGGGGGACGAAAGTACACGCCAAAACAAGAAAGTTTTTCATTTTAGCATTAGAGCTACTGTTTTTTAATTAAAAAAATTATGAAATTTGCAGCTGCAGATGAAATCCGAAATCATCTGGATATGATAGCAAAAGCGACATATCATAATTTTCTACGCCGCTGTCAACTTTGTGTGAATAATAACGGAGGGATAGTTGAACATTTATTATGATTTTGTGGAACACTTGTTTTATTCAAAGTACCTAAAAATAGCTGAGTATGCAAAACAAAAAACAATTATCAGCAAAGTAATCAATGATAACACAAATGTTTAATGAATGTAGATTATTGTCCAGTGCACTGTGCAAACATATTTAGCGTCAATTGTGGCCCAAAATTTCTACTTCACTTATAAAAAAGTTAATGATTTTTTTTTATAAAAAAAATTACACTAATGCAAAAATGATAAAGGAAAAACTTTCTTATTTTGGCAACTTATTTGGCGACACCCTGTATTGGATATTGATGAGAATTTTTCGCACTAAACTAATTAATACGTTAATTACCATAATTTGCATTCCAAAATAAAACGTATTTTGTAATAAACACAAAATTTAGTACCTACTTGTACCTAAAGGTGGTGACGTGATGAGCACCTATCTCTATCGCGTTTTTTCGCTAGAAATAAATACATGAAGATAGTGCAAAATCGTGATGGCATGTGCTAATAAGGCTGGTTGGATATTTATAAAAAAAAATAAAAATAAATAGATAACCGCTTTTCCAACAAAAATCGTATTTGAATTACTTAATCCAACCAATAACATTTTTTCCTTTTCGTTGCCTAACGCTTGAATATCGTTTTTTTTAAATCACCGCAATCAATGCGTTAATTATTTTTAATTTCTCTAAAAAATATTTTTATTTAACCGCTAACCGATGTTAAACAACAGTAAGGGCAGGTTTTTCAATCGTTGGTTAAGTTTATCTTACGGTTAACTTTCTTAGATACTATTGTGTTAACAATAGTATCTAAGGAAATTAACCGTAAGATAAACTTAACCAACGATTGAAAAACCGGCCCTAAGTGTTTCAAGGAATTTGGAAATAATTAAAAACGACAAGAAATCCGAAAGTAATTAACCAAATGTTCGCTTAAAAAAACTATTAGTTTCTTAATTTTTAAAATTTAAAAGCGACAGCGATTTAAATAAATTATTTGTAAATACTATTGATTTTTTAAACATGTATTGCAATCCACATTGTTACCTAATTGTGTATAAAGATTTGGTGTTTAGATTTACCTGGTGATTGAATTGGAATATTTTATCAAAATCCTTTATAATTTATTTATTTTATTTTATCGAAAATAAATTAAAATATAAGTATAGGGTCTTGAAAACGACTTATTTTTTTATTCCAAAAACACGTCAACAATTTTTATGGCTAAATTTTGATAATACTCTTATAAAAAAATCACCATAAGGGGCAAAATTTACCAAGTGTACCAGGTGTAAAAATTTTTGTCACCGATTTTGTTTAAACTTTACTTATTTTTTGCTCTAGGATTGTTCATTCAAGAGTTATGGACCCAATAAATAAATTAGAATTAAGACTTTATTTTTTATGTTGCAATCGCCTATTTATTTATTTATTTATTTAATACATTTTTATATTTTCCAATAAGATAACCAAATAGATATATCTATATTTTTTATTAAGTTGTTTTTTGATTTTATGTAATTAGTTATTTTGCGTTTTTTTATATTCAATATAATGCTATACAGGGTGTTTCTGGAGAAACGCAAACGATATGGGTTTGAAATTTTAATAGCAAATACAATTTGATTTAAACTATACCTAAAGTCAATAGTTTTTCAAGATATTAATTTTTTTGTTAAAATTTTGCTAAATGCACGTTAATCAGAAATAGCCTCTAATTTTTTTGTTATTAAGTTTGCTGACATGGGGTTGGAATTTTTGGAATATTAAAACATTGCAACGTGTTAAATAATGTGATAAAACCTATGGAAGCTGACCAAATTAATTAAATGTGAGGGGACTGTTTTAAGATTTTTAGATATGTAAATAATGTTAATTCTTCTATATTAAGTTGAAGAAAGTCTATATTTTTTTAAATTATTTCTTTTAGGCTCCATTATCACACAAAACTCACAACCTATAATTTCTATGCACTTTTTTAACCAGTTCATTAATTAACGTTAATTTACCAGCGAGTTAAAATATATTTGGTAAAATATAACTTATTGGTTAAAAAAAATTCCAAATTAACCAAAACTTTGGTTATTTACATTAGATTTTTATCTATGGGGTTACCCTAAAGTTGACGGATTTTTAATTTTTTTTTAAATAAGTTGTTTTTAAGATACAGAGTATATTCCAGTGTAATAGATTTCTCAACCCACTATTAGCGATAGCAAAGCCAGATAACCCAAAGGACTAATTGTTTACCGTTAATTACCATGCATAATGAAAAATTAATAGGACTGAAGTCCTGTTTTTTTTTTGTACTTGGTTCTTGCAGTTGCCATAAACTTGCGAGCCGCTCTTTAAAACGACGATGATGATGATGAATGGCGTGGATTTTTCGAAGAGATACCATCGGATTTATTTGATGCGCAAGATATACGCAGTAACTGTTTGTCGAATGAGGTACGCCATTAATCATTATAATGTATGGATGGTGTTAAATATTGCGCATGATTAATTTATATCGATTTCATGAAAATAAATAAAATAATGTTGCACTATTTTATTTAAGCGGTACTTACCCTTTTCTGTTGCAGACGATTCCTTTACTTTCCAGAGCTTTTGAAAGTTCAGTTATTACGTGTTCTGGATCTCTGCATTGGGTTGTGGAAACATTAGATAAATTCTGAAAGAAATATTTTGTTTCTTCAAAAAGGACAACTTTGGTAAAATGTTGAAGCAATATTGGAAATATTCCCCAACACCAAAACAAAACACAAAGTGCGAAAAGCACTTTAAGCACTTTGTGTTTTGTTTTGGTCTTGGGGAATATTTCTAATACACTCACAGGCACAATAATCGATCCACACAAATTTTCGATGAATTTCAATCGCAAATAACTTTTTTATTTGATTTTGGATTTATACAAATATATTAACATTTTAAAAATTACTAAAAAATAGACGTACGTTTATATTATAAAGGTTTAAACAAAAAGATGTGTTTTACCATAAGTTTAAGACACTATGAGTGGCAAAACCGTATATTGTTCTAAATTAAGTTTTAATTATCAAGTCACATCTATTTTTAACAGTTTTGTTTTTGGTTCACCTTGATAAATTTATTTTTGTGGAAAATATGGATTTTTTTTTAAAAAAACATTGCAATTTCCAATATTTTTCCTGTATAAGGTTGCTATGGTCCATCCATAGCCTATGGAGGATGATAGTGACAGTTTTGTTTAATCATCCCATACTTGGACATATCATATACAGCTTTCAAAACCTATCAAATTGTTTTTTGTAAATTAATGTGTTAATTTTGAGGTGTCTTCTTACTTTTAAAAATGTCTCCGACTGATGTTGCCGTTTGTACTTTACTTCTTGTGACGTTTAAAACACTTGCCACGTAATACTGTGACCGTCCATCCTGGATTAAATTAATGGCTCTGGCAACATCAGTCGGAGGCATATCCATTTTTTAAAGTAAGAAGACACCTCAAAATTTAAACATTAATTTATAAAAAACAATTTGATAGCTTTTGAAAGCCGTGTATGACATGTCCAAGTATGGGATGATTCAACAAAACTGTCACTGTCATCCTCCATAGCCTATGGATGGACCATAGCTTTTGAAAGCCGTGTATGACATGTCCAAGTATGGGATGATTCAACAAAACTGTCACTGTCATCCTCCATAGCCTATGGATGGACCATAGCAACCTGAGTTCTTCTAACAGAAAAAATATTGGAAATTGCAATGTTTTTTTAAAAAAACCATATTTTCACACTAACATAAATATATCGAGGTGAACCAAAAACAAAACTGTTAAGAATATATGTGACTTGATAAATAAAACTTAATTTAGAACAATATACGGTTTTGCCACTCTACAGAGTGTCTTAAACTTATGGTAAAAAACATATTTTTGTTTAAACCTGTATATTATAAACGTACGTCTATTTTTTAGTAATTTTTTTAAATATGAGCGATTGTCCATTAATTTATCTACAATATTCTTTAATATTCGTTTAAATCCGACATCAAATAAAAAAGTTATTTGCGATTGAAATTCATCGAAAATTTGTGTGGATCGATTATTTTGCCTGTGAGTGTATTTGTTTAAATATTTTGTTGTCAAAATTCGGGTACTTTCCCTTTCAACATAATTAATTTGGCTTCTCTTTCAGGCCTGACAACCTGCAATTATCTGCCTAAAATACAAAAGTACAAGCAGAAATTACCCAAGAAACACTGAAGGGCACAGGATATCCTTAAACTTTAGTGCCACCTGGCGGGTGCACTACACCATAACGAATTTATTCCGCGATATTTTTATGGGAGGAAAATGCTGTTTTATCGTTGGCCTATTCGAAATAAAGGGTTTAAATGTGTTGCTGTTCGTTTTATTTACCTTGTTGGTGAGTTGTACGGGGTTCAGAGGGTTTCCTCCAGCGTGCGCGGGTTTTTTGGGCGTTAATACGTCCCTGACTTTGTGCAAGGACCTTTCTATGCTGCCTAGCATCCTTCGAGCCGATCCTGGATGACTGTGGTCGTTTTTAGGAGTCCTTGGGCAACTATTGCTAAAGAAAATAATGTTATTATCGCCCGGAAAATATAAAAAAAAATATGAATTTTTTTTTTGAGAATTTAACCATTTAATTTTATTTATTGATAACTTTATTAAAGATAAACCGTGTTAAATTTGCAAAAAAAATTCTAGGTTGTAGTAGTCTACTTTAAAGACATTTACAAAGTTTTAAAAAGATTGACCGTCTGGTTTCCGAGTAAAAAAATCTTGTACTAATTATTGTTAAACTGTGTTGTGAATATTTACATATTATGTTGATAAATTATCGATTTTTTATTGTCATGTTATAAGATATGCGTTAATCTCCTATACAGCCCATGTCTTTAATTAATGCATATCTTTTAACTTGATATTTAAAAATTAATGAATTTTTTTTCTCGTTAACTTTCACCGCACAGTTTTGCAATAATAAACGATGTTGACTGTGTCACACCAAAATTATCAATCTGTCATTTTTGTCAAGAAGATCCGGCAACACTTGATTACGAACACGTGATTATCTAGGGATATTTGGTGTGATTTATTGTTTAAGTATCTTTATTTTCTGCTCTTCTCGAAACTGCATTTAACACACTGCATGATTTTTTCTTACTTTTTTACCCTTTGAAGGTACTCCCAAAGTTTTAGATTTTTAAATTAATTTTTAAACTGAGCCCTGACCACCCAACAGAAAAAAAATTTTTAAACGAGGTTTTTTCTTAATTTTTGACTTAATTTTTAACCTGAGCCCCAACCACTTAAAAAAAAACAGAAAAAATTAGAAAAAAGTAAGAAAAAAACATAATTTCAGGCTTTAAAAAAATAAAGAAAAAATCAGAAAAAGGTAAGAAAATATCATATTTTTTTTCATCCAAGTTTTTTTTTACTTTTTGACTCTTCTGTTGCTTTATTTTTGGTTCCCATATTTTTTTATAATTTTTTCTTTGTAATAGATTCTATTCGTTTTACAGAACGTAGAAATTCGTTTTCACAACTCATTTTAAGATTTTAAATAACACTACATATAGAACTGTCACTGCAACTGTCAAAAGCGAAAAGCGTTACCATAGAAACCAACTATGAACAACTCGCAATGTTGTCACGTTTAATTAAATCCTATTTTTTACGTTTTTTGTATTAAAATAAAAAATAGTTATAAAATCAGTTAAAACGTCTGTTTTTTAAATCAAGTGTAATCAAATGAAGAAAGTAAATTTTGTTTTTGCAAGTTGGTACTTATCGCTATTCATGCGTTAAGTTTAAAATCAACTACCCGAACCTACTCTCTAAAAATGAATTAGTCGAAAATGACTAATTACCACAGTTATGAATTGCTGATTTTTCAATTATACCATTGACTACTTCTTCACTCAACGCTTATACCATGGTAACCCCAACATTTACAACAAATTCTTATGTAAAATTGTCCCCTGAATCCGAAAATACCGTCAAAAATTATGAAAGTAGAGCATATTCAATTTCATATTATTTGGAAAATTGACCATAGCTTAAAAGCTGTTTTACTTTTCTAATATTTGAGGACATTTTCGGATTTAGGGAACAATTTTACATGAAAATTGACTCCTAAATATTCGGGATACAAATTGCTATTGACGAGAATAAATAAATAATTAGTACATAAAAGAAAACTATTGGTTTTGTATATTGTTTAATAAAGTAATAACAATCAAATAAAGAAAAAAATAATTAGATAAAAAAATAGTAAGAACAATAAAATGCAATTTTTTTTTTAATTGAACCCTTTTCTGGATTTAATATGTTGTAGTGCAATTTCTTAGTTCTTTCGCTTCTACCATAATAATAATTATGGTAATTATTATTATTATATTAATTATTAAAAACATATTCTTTTTAACAAATAGAATGAATCAATACAAAAGATATAACAAATTTTATTTATAATTTTATGCCAAAATTTCCATCCAACAAAAATCTGCCAACAAAAATCTGCTAACATCGAATCAAACCCATTTCCATTATTGTTTAATGCTCTTCTGATTCAGTGGACAGCTGATTTTCGGTCAAGATGTGCATGAAGCAAATGTACAGGGTGGTCCACGTAAGGTGACCCATATACTTATCTCAGAAACTACTGGAGTCACAAAAAATTTGTAAGAAACAAATATTCACGAAGTAAAAAATATTTTTAAAATATTATATTTTCATTTATACAGGGTGTTCGGTTTTCCTTGGGACGATACCAACTTTCTTATTTTCAATGGAACACCCTGTATTTTTTTGCATTTTTGGATTCTACCCACTCTTTTAGGTATACTTTGTAAATATATTAATTAAGAAAATGTTAATACTTTTTGAGTAAAATGAGGATTTATTAAAATTTCTCTAAATGTAGACATTCGCTAAAAGTTAAAAATAACCAACTAAAAGTTATTATTTTTTATATTATGTAGCATTCATCTCTTTAATAATAAGTAAGCTATAAGTTAATTAATTTATTTTTTGGAAAATATTATACAGGGTGTTTTCTTTGAATAATGAAAATTTAACTAAGGTAATTGGAAAAAAGCTACTAATTGTGAAAAATGCGAATATTTTTTTTTCTGTTAGGTTTAGGTATAGGACATATATATATATAATGAAAGGTAATTACTTATTCTATCCAATTATGCAAAAATATATAGGGTGTTCCATTGAATAAAAACTAGATTTTAAACTTTTAAAATCGCTATTTTCAACGGGACATAGAAAACACCCTGTATGATATTTTCCAAAAAATATAATAATTAACTTATAGCTTACTTATTATTAAAGAGATGGATACTACATAATATAAAAAATAATAACTTTTAGTTGGTTATTTTTAACTTTTAGCGAGTGTCTACATTTAGAGAAATTTTAATAAATCTTAATTTTACTCAAAAAGTATTAACATTTTCTTATTTAATATATTTACAAAGTATACCTAAAAGAGTGGGAAGAATCCAAAAATGCAAAAAAATACAGGGTGTTCCATTGAAAATAAGAAAGTTGGTATCGTCCCAAGGAAAACCGAACACCCTGTATAAATGAAAATATAATATTTTAAAAATATTTTTTACTTCGTGAATATTTGTTCCTTACAAATTTTTTGTGACTCCAGTAGTTTCTGAGATAAGTATATGGGTCACCTTACGTGGACCACCCTGTACTTTTAGTGACATGTTTACACCCATTTTTAATTTTTGTTTAATTTTTTATTATTTTTTTTTAATTTATTGTTATGACAACAATTTCCTATCAGTTAATTGGTTTAGGGCCAGTATATTCACCTTCCTTTTAATTTACTAGATGGATAACTGTCATAGTTACCATTGTTGACACAATTGTAACTATGACAATTAAGCATTGGGTAAATTTAGTGGAAGATGAATATACTGGCCCTTAAATAACACTGTGCAACACAAAAAATGAACTGGGATCAAATCTGAAAAAATCGAATCTAGGCAACCCCCAAAACAAATCCTTTAAGGGGTTTTACCAGTTTAGCTCGAATAATGGAGATATATATATATATATATATATATATATATGTACAGGGTGTTTCTTTTAACTTGAGACAGCTCAATATCTCGAGAAATACGCATTTCACGGAAAAATGTCTTAAATAAAAGGTTAATGTGACTAAAGGGGACATTATTTGGTGCTACCGCTAGCCACCCCCTACCCCTCCTTAAGGGTGAAACGGGGGGTAATTTGGAAAGTCAAATGGAATGACCCGATTTTTTTCACAGAGTTTGGTAGTACATAAAAATAAATAACTTTTATTTAAATCTTTTTTCAATTTATCAACAGATGGCGCTGTAATTCAAAATTTAAGAAAAATGAGTTTCCTTGTAAAATGTATTATTTGAAAGTTTGAAAAACAAAAATTAACATTAACAACAATAGTCGGCTATGAAAACAATTTATAACAAATGTTCGAAATGTCGTCATTCCATTTCAACACATTTTTGAATGCGGGTAATGAATTCTGGCACACAACGCGCCAACATATCGGGCGGTATCGCCGCACAGGCGTTCCTGATCCGCTCCACCATGTCCTCCCAAGTTGTAGGAATTGCAGCGTAAACTTTTTCTTTCAAGTAACCCCACTGAAAGAAGTCTGGTGGCGTAAGATCAGGTGATCGAGCAGGCCAAATTACTGGACCACGTCTACCGATCCACCGCGGTGCACCGGCCATTGAACTCCCGATCCAACACCTCTCGAGCAATTGTCGAATAATGTGCAGGACAACCATCTTGCTGGTACCACATGTTTTGGAGCCGTGCTAGTGGTACATCCTATAAAAGGTCCGTCAGATCGTTTTCTAGAAAATTCCGGTACTTTTCGCCATTTAATGCACCGTCAATAAAGAAGGGTCCGATTAATCGTTCGCTTAAGGTACCGCACCAAACGTTTACCGACCAGGGACGCTGGTGCTCCACTTGGTGTCGAAATGGAAGGACGACATTTCGAACATTTGTTATAAATTGTTTTCAAAGCCGACTATTGTTGATTTAATGTTAATTTTTGTTTTTCAAACGTTTCAAATAATACATTTTACAAGGAAACCCCTTTTTCTTAAATTTTGAATTACAGCGCCATCTGTTGATAAATTGAAAAAACTTTCAAATAAAAGTTATTCATTTTTTATGTACTACCAAACTCTGTGAAAAAAATCGGGTCATTCCATTTGACTTTCCAAAGTTACCCCCAGTTTCACCCTTAAGGAGGGGTAGGGGGTGACTAGCGGTAGCACCAAATAATGTCCCCTTTGGTCACATTAACCTTTTATTTAAGGCATTTTTCCGTAAAATGCGTATTTCTCGAGATATTGAGCTGTCTCAAGTTAAAAGAAACACCCTGTATATCTCCATTATCCGAGCTAAACTAGCAAAACCCCTTTAAAGATTAGTTTTGGGGCTTGCATAGATTCGATTTTTCCACATTTCATCCCAGTTCAAATTGTAAGGTCAAAATTTGTCGCACAGTGTAATAAATAACGGTTTTTCGGGTTCCAAAATTAATAAAACTTAACATCGATATTAAAAAAAACCTGAATCAATCTAAACATTCTGTAAATGCAAAAAGGCATTCTTTGGAATAGCGAAACGAAAACCACTTTCAGAACCCCATAATTTTTTTTGTTTTGGTTTAAATTAATAAATAACGGTTTTACGAGTTCCAAAATTAATAAAACTTAAAATCGATATTAAAAAAAACCTGAATCAATCTAAACATTCTGTAAACGCAAAAAGGCATTCTTTGGATAGGAGAAACGAAAACCACTTTCAGAACCCCATCATTTTTTTTTGCTGTTGCACTGTGTTATTAGTGGCTGCTTTTTCGCTATGACAATTAGTAATTTTTGACTAATTCTCTTGATAACTCTTTTTTTGTCATAATTTTCTAGCTAAAATTGGCAGGAAAGTAAATTGTCCGAAATCCTGCAGCCTTCGCGTGGCATAAATCCCTATCAAGCCAACAAATCACCCCACACCGAATAGCAGGAAGGTGCGGCAAAACATTAGAGGCGGCAGGAACAACTGTAGGGCCTAATCGGACCCGGCAACGAACCGGAACCCGATGTTTATGACGGGCTGGCGGCGCTAAACAAGCCGCCGCAGGTTGACCAAGCACGGAGGCGGCCCCCGATAAACCGCCCCCCCCCAGGACGATGTTTACAACCGCCGCCGTCGCATATACTCGCCACTTTACTGCTTCAATTAGCGCGGCAAATTGTGAGCAGCGCGTTCCGTTTGGTTTATTGGTTCGATTGTTCCCTTTTGGCATGATTATTTTACACGTAGGTTTAGTATGGTAAAACGCAGGCAATAATTAAAGTTAACTTACTGTTCGGGTGTGCGGAGTGGGGTCGACTTTCCTGGGGTTGCTTTTTTCGCAGGCACTGAAAAAAATTACATTTTTTGCTATTACAATAATTAAATTTATTTTAAAATGTCAATTTTTTTACAATTACGAATAAAAATTAAAAAAAAATGTTTTATCTTTATATGTTGGATACAAATAAATAAATAAATATTTAAATTTGGTGATTTTTATTGGAAATGCTGTTGATATAATTATTTTTCTTATCAAAATTTGTATATTATTAATTTATTGAATAATATATTACAAAAATCAGGTCGAGCTATTATACGAGGTGTGTTCAGAAAATAACGGGAATTGTTAAATTACGCGGGTTTGGAGGGTCCGGTTGTCATAAAATTTTCTTTATTATGTTGGTATACATGCCCTCGAAGTACGATAAAAACTTCATTGTTTACTTTGTCTGTGGCAGCCGCTAAGGTTAGACGTGTTTTATGAGCTCGGCGATTAAAAGAAATGGATCAAAGAATTTGTATCCAATTTTGCTTAAAAAATGAAATAAATTCTGTGAAATGTTAACAAAGGCCTATAGTGAGTCTGCTATAAGTAAAACAAGAGTTTACAAGTGGTATAAGAGTTTCCAAGATGGCCGTGAAGACGTTGAAGATGACGAACGCCCCGAACGCACAAGCACATTAACAACCGATAAAAACATGGAAAAAGTGAAAGAAATGGTTATAAAACATCAGAGAAGTCGCTGATGATGTTGGTATATCGATTGGCTTATCCCATGAAATTTTTTCGAATGTTTTGGGTATAAAACGCGTGGCAGCAAAATTTGTTCTAAAATTGTTAAATTTTGAACAAAATTTTTGGCCAAAAACAATACTGTAATGATGCCCCAGCCTCCATATTCGCCTCTGTCTGACTTTTTCCTATTCCCAAAAATAAAGAGAACCTTAAAGGGCCATCGTTTTGCAAGCATAGATGACATTAAAAGCGCATCGCTGAAAGAACTAAAGGCTATCCCAAAGATCGAGTTTTAGAAGTGTTTCGAGTATTGGAAGAAGAGCTGGGACATGTGCATAATATCCAATGGGGACTATTTTGAAGGCGACAACATTAATGTAGACGTTTAAATTAATATTTGTTTCAAAAAACGAAAATTCCCGATATTTTCTGAACACACCTCGTATATAACAGACTAGTAGACTATAACATTTTCTACAAAAACAGTTTTCTTTCACATAAATTTCCAGTTTAAATAAATTTGTTCTACTAACTTACTGGAAAACTTAATTTTCCACCCCCGAGCGAGGGAGGAAAATGCCTCTTTTCCTCCCCGGGAGGAAAAAAATTTCCTCCCTCTTTTTTTTAAAAAATTTTACATTAGCAAGAGTTTTTGTACCTTGTCTAGCCCTATTTGATTTTGTAAGAAAAAGATTTACTCCGCGATTGTCCAATCATTCTTTGAACAAACTATATTCATTTTCATATCGCTCTTTCGATTTTTAAGGAAGGAAATTAATTGCAACTATTCTTGCCTCTTCAGCAAGATCTTGCGGCAGGTCTTCTTCGCTAGAACCAGTGTTGCCACCCCGAGGGAATTTTCCCATTTTAGGAAATTTTCGTTGCCAAAAGGGACAAAGGGAATCTTTAAATAAAAAAGGGAATTTTCTTAAATTCATACTAATAAAAAATATGGTTTCAAAAACAAGAAGTATTAAGGTTTCCATAGTGTATTATCGTTGTGATGAATAGGGTTGGGTTCTTCACTCAACGGTATTATTGTTGTTTGTTTTTTTAAATTTTTTTTTATAAAAATATTTTTTTGTATGTTTTGTATTTTTTTGTTTTATCTCATTTTACTAGAACAAAACCTTAAAAACAATGATAATGAGGTTGAGGGAATTTAGATACGAAAAGGGAATTTTCATTATAGAGTAAGGGAATATCGCTTTTGAAAAGGTGGCAACACTGGCTAGAACTCATTTTCAAAACGTAGGAAGAATTCTGACAGCTTATAAAAACTGTTATGTTTATATTACCAAAAATACCATAGCAACAAAGCGTTGTCAACATAACATCGGCGACGCAAAACCTACTTAATATTTAGTCATAATTTTATAGCCCCATACCGGGTTAGTAAAAGGAACCGGAACGCTTAAAATGTCTTAAAACCGTTAAAAGGTAATAGAAAAAACTATATACATACCTCAGGAGGAAAATGCGTTTCCTCCGTTAAATATTTTATGCCCTTCGCTTCGCGTCGGGCATCAAACTATTCGCGGGAGGAAAAGCATTATTTTCCTCCCATGGTATGTAAATAGCTATTATATATCTTTTGTTGAAAATTGGGGATTCATCGCGAGATATTAAATAACCTTAACAGGCCATTTTTGTAGAGCAAAAATATTTATGCTCGTTTCACTGCTCTTTAAAAATGAATTAGTCAAAAATTACTAATTGTCATAGCCAAAAAGCAGTCATTAATAATTCTCGTCAATAGCAATTTGTATCCCGAACATTTTGCAGTCAATTTCTATGTAAAATTGTCCTCTAAATCCGAAAATGTCGTCAAAAGTTGTAAAAGTATAACAGGTTTTGAGATATAGTAAATTTTCCATATAATATGGAATTGACTATATCTTAAAAACTGCTCTACTTTCATAATTTTTTACGGTATAAGTGAAAAGCAGCCACTAATAACTATAGTAACTAGTCATTTTTGACTAATTAATTTTTAAAGAGTGTATATTAATATTTTAGTCACAAATTAGTTTAATGAATAATTTATTTAAAACTTGATAGGTTGAAAAAGGTATCATGTCGTATTTTGTAGACTAGACATTTTCTTTTAAAAATACTCTTGTTTTACTTAAATGAAAAAAAAATGTATGGCACGACTTCTAAATGACAACATTTAATGACATTTTTCAGTTTTACTGTAAAAATTTATATTATTATTTATTTAATTTTTTTCATAATACCTAGTTTATATTAAAATTTAAACTTTCTTTTGTTTTAGGAAATTTTGCGTATGAATAAATTAAAAAATGGGCTCAACCGGGATTTGAACCCGGGACCTCTCGCACCCAAAGCGAGAATCATACCCCTAGACCATTGAGCCGCGATACGGATTTTTACGCAGTTTTGGGCGCGAACGCGTTTTTAAGACTTAAAGTGAAAGTAGACGCTTAACACAGGTAAAAATTAGTAAAACAAATTCGCGCCAAATTCGGTACAAAATTATGCATGGCGGCTCAATGGTCTAGGGGTATGATTCTCGCTTTGGGTGCGAGAGGTCCCGGGTTCAAATCCCGGTTGAGCCCAATTTTTTAATTTAATCATACGCAAAATATTCCGTCAGCAAAACAAAGAACGTTTATAAAGCAATTTTATTATAAACAGTGAGCATGTTTCTTTCGATTATAGTAATGTATTAAAAATATATATAAGATTTTTTTTAAAACCCATTCATTGTTAAAAAATTTGAACGTCGAAAAAAATACATTGACATAAAAAATTTGGGATTTTTATAGTCGATTTTTCTTTGTTTTTCCCAGAGAAGATGAGGGGTATTTTTATTTTTTATTTTTGGAAGATTACTCATTTTTGATCAAATGTTTTGATTGTGAAAAGATAACGTTTGCGTAGTAAAATTTGAAGTTTTATATACAGGGTGTTTAGCACGAAGCACTAAAAATCAACTTTTTAATTTCCGTCGTATTTTTTTATTTAGACTTTGGCTAATTAATTTCAAACAAGTTTTTCCTAAAAAATTTTTATGCGAAAAATAAAGGTTTTTCTTGAATGAATTTCATGTTTTTTTCACTTTTAAACACCCTGTATTTTAAATTCCAAATTTTACTACGAGAATGTTATTTTTTTGACAATCAAAACTTTTTATCGAGAGTGAGTTTTTTTTTTTTAATTAAAAATTTCCTATTGTAAAGTCAATTATTTTGGATTTAGTACTCAAATTACCCTAGAAAAGTTTATGAACTTGCAGCAAAATGGCTGTAAAGCAGTTTTACTTTTAATAGTGGAAACCTACATTTTTTTATCTATATAAAAAATGGGCTCAACCGGGATTTGAACCCGGGACCTCTCGCACCCAAAGCGAGAATCATACCCCTAGACCATTGAGCCGCGATACGGATTTTTACGCAGTTTAGGGCGCGAACGCTTTTATAAGACTAAAAGTGAAAGTAGACGTTTAACACAGGTAAAAATTAGTAAAATGCATTCGCGCCAAATACGGTACGAAATTATGCATGGCGGCTCAATGGTCTAGGGGTATGATTCTCGCTTTGGGTGCGAGAGGTCCCGGGTTCAAATCCCGGTTGAGCCCAATTTTTTAATTTAATTATACGCAAAATATTTTGTACGCAAAAACCAAAAAACGTTTATAAAGCAATTTTACTATAAACAGTCAGCATGTTTATTTCTATTATAGTAATGTATTAAAAATATATATAAGAATTTTTTTAAAAACGATTCTTTGTTAAAAAATTTGAACCTCGAAAAAAATACATTGACATAAAAAATTTGGGATTTTTATAAAGTCGATTTTTCCATGTTTTTCCCAGAGAAGATGAGGGGTATTTTCATTTTTTATTTTTTGAAGATAACTCATTTTTGATCAAATGTTTTGATTGTGAAAGATAACATTTGCGTGGTAAAATTTGAAGTTTTATGTACAGGGTGTTTAGCACAAAGCACTAAGGAAAAATCAACTTTTTAATTTCCGTCGTATTTTTTTATTTAGACTTTGGCTAATTAATTACAAACAACTTTTTCCTTGAAGGAATTTCATGTTTTTTTCATTTTTGAACACCCAGTATTTTAAATTCCAAATTTTACTACGAGAATGTTATTTTTTTGACAATCAAAACTTTTTATCGAGAGTGAGTTTTTTTTTTTAATCAAAAATTTCCTCTTGTAAAGTCAATCATTTTGGATTAAGTACTCAAATTACCCTAGAAAAGTTTATGATCCTGCAGCAAAATGGCTGTAAAGCAGTTTTACTTTTATTAGTGCACTACATGTATAGTATATAGTTTGTATACTATACAT